CAATCCCGTTTCCCAAGTTCAGGAATTACCAGCATGCCATAGCAAGGTCAGCTCACCTATTCTTGCAAATGTCATTCAGGTTTGAATTTTTTCCCAGACACAAATTAAAAAGAGCTGTTACTCACGAGAGGAGTGTTAAGTACATAGGGAGAGAAAGCTGCCTTGAGACTCCAGAATTTTCCAAGCTAGATGCTCTCTCTGCCCTTTACACTGCAATCTGCCTCTAATGTTAGGAATGGGATTAATACTTTCTACAAACTCAGAGAAACAATAAGCCAATCCTTCTCCCTTTAATTTTCCCAGCAGAGCACAGTCTTCCTCAAAGTCCAATTTCATCTTTCTACTATGTCCAACAAATACCTTTATAAATGGGATCCCCACAACAGCATTCAACTTAAAAGGGAAATGTAGGGGCTGGAGAGGCATTTGCTGCTTCTTCAGAAGCCTGGACTTCAGTTCCCAGCAGCCACACAGAGCGGTTCACAAGAGCGGCTCTGGGAACTGACTCATCTGGTCTCCTCCAGTACCTGCACTCACACGTGCATACCCAGAGACAGACATACACACATTCATCATAATAAAAATACATCTTTAAGAATGTGGCAGATGAGCCGGGCGGTGGTGGCGCACGCCTTTAATCCCAGCACTCGGGAGGCAGAGCCAGGCGGATCTCTGTGAGTTCGAGGCCAGCCTGGGCTACCAAGTGAGTTCCAGGAAAAGGCGCAAAGCTACACAGAGAAACCCTGTCTCGAAAAAACCAAAAAAAAAAAAAAAAAAAAAAGAATGTGGCAGATGTGCCTTGATATGCAGATCACCAAGAAGCAACTAACAGACCACAGAACATATTTGCGTCTCAACTTTCAGCACTTCAAAGCATCAGATCAACCCACAGGGTCCGTTAGTGTCAGGCCAATGCTTCTTCATTCCGTCATCCTGTGCCTACTCGAATTTCATGTTAAAGTAAAAATTATCAAGGCTTCAAAGACTTCACAAGCATGAAGAGGGCTAATTTTATTTGAGAACTCTAAGAATGGCTCTCCGTGATGGTAACTATCCATTAAATAACCCGGGTTAGTGATGAGAATCATGTCACTCACTTGTCTGGAAGAACAGGGCTTCTTAGCCACATGTAAACCCATGCGGTACAATAACAGAGTAAAAACAAAAACCTTTTATTAAAATTAAAACTTATCTTCTTAACAAAAGGAGAAAATTACTTTTTAGAGTTTGTTTATTGAAATTTGAAGCAGAAAATAAAAATAAAAAATTTTACACAATTTCATGTGTTTTATACTTTAAGGCCTAAAATACCATTTTATAAAACTATCTCTGCTGAACTTATACACCAACTGACCATACTGTCACTCTTTTTAAAAAAGGAGTAGCAATTTCCTTTTAAATAGTTACAAAGAACCACACAACTCTTTTTGTTTTGTTTTGTTTTGTTTTTTGAGATACTGGGTCCTCACCATGTAGACCAGGCTAGACTGGAACTCATAGAGCTCTACCTGACTCTGCCTCCTGAGCCCTGGCATCAGGCATGTGCCACCACACCTGGCTAACTTTTTCAGCTAGGACAAAACCCTTCCATCATACAGATTAAAATATGAAGTCAGCTTGTGAGCCTGCACCCAGTCACTTAGACACTAACGCATACATCCATCTGCCTTGCCCAGTGTTCCATTTTGGCATGACACATATGGGTCTTCTAACCTTCGACAGGGAAGACGTTTTTATCAAAGTCAGAAGCTCAAATTCAACCCAAGTGAGTACAGACAGGAACCAACAAAGGAGTGAACTGGAGGGAAAGCCTGAGGTCTCGTGGGCAGCAAGGGTGTCTTCAGTGGGCACCAGCCTCCATCCTTCCTCACGTTTCCAGAGCCCTGCAGGTGAGCAAAGAGAATGTAATGTATAGAAATCAATTTTCACAGTCCATGCAAATATGAAAACTACTTTCATTTATAAACTCATATAAATTAGGAAGAGCATGACAATTTATCATGAGAAAATTATCTTTGTATAGTTACTTTATAACAGAAAGAAAATACTACGAACTCAAAATTGGTAGACAGGAGGTAAACAGGAACACCAATCCCTATGCCTGACATACAATTCCACCTGGAGACTAACGGGAGTGCCAATCCCTACGCCTTCCAGTTCCTGTTTCTTTGTACAATCTCCAATCTCAACCCAGCATTTATTAACTACATATTGTAAAATTCTTTCTTTCTTTCTTTCTTTTTTTTTGAGACAGAGTTTCTCTGTGTAACAGCCCTGGCTGTCCTGGAACTCACTCTGTAGACCAGATTGGCCTCAAATTCACAGAGATACACCTGCTTCTGCCTCCTGAGTGCTGGGATCAAAGGCATGGACTTCTTTTTTTGAGATTTATTTTTATTTATGTGCCTGGATATTTTGCCTGCATGTGTGTATATGCACCCACATGCAAACAGTGCCCTTGGGGGCCAGAAGAGGGCATCAGATCCTTTGGAACTGTTATTACAGACAGTTAAGAATTTCCCTGTAAGTACTGGGAATTGAACCCAGGTCCTCTAAAAGAGCAGCAAGTGCTCTAAACCACTGAGCCATCTCTTCAGCCCAAGTCATGCTTCTTAAAAAGACTAGTCTAGGTGGCTATGGTGGCACATACCTACAATCCCAGCACTCGGGATGCCAAGGCAGGAGGGCTGCTCCAAGTTCAAAGCCAGCCTGGACTACGTAGAAAGACTCTGTGTCATGAACAAAACAAAAGAAAGGAAGACACACTTTGGAAAGGGAATCATTTTGTTTGCAGCTTTGTTTGGAAAACTGCGATCCCCTAAATAGGTGAGCACATGTGGTGCAGCCCACTCCTGGGTATAAATGCATGAGACAGAAGCACACGCTATAAACATGAAGCAGTGTGATTTGAAGAAGTGGAAAGAATCTTCAAGTCCTCTCGATGGACTGCTACCCTACTGTAAGAAGGAACACTCTTGATACAGCAGGGATGAACCTTGACAAGCTGACTGCTTCCATTTATAAGATTGTCCAGAATAAACAAGGCAAATGCTTGTTTGCTGGGGCCTGGAGGTAAGAGAAGCTGAGGGGTTAACGGCAAAGGAGATGACTGCTAACGGGGAGAGGGCATTCTAACTAGGTGCTTTGAAACGTTCTGTTTTTAAAAGGTGGCAGTTGCATAAATGTGCAAACTCAGTAAAATGCAATGAATTCTTCACCTTAGAAAGGTGAGTTGCCAGGCTAGATGGTACACACCTACAACTCCAGCTCTTTGGGAAGGGAAGGCAAGAGAATTGCAAACTCAAGGTCTGCTTGGGTTATAGAGCAAGTTCAAGGCCAACCTAAGCAATTTAGCAAGATCTGGTCTCACAAACAAGTAAGTACAAAGAGAGCTGTAGATAGAGCTCAGTGGTAGAATGATTATACAGCATGTGTGAGGCCCTGGCTTCCACCCTCTGTACCTCCAAAAGAAAGAGAAAAAAAAGAAAAAGAAAAGAAGGCTGTAAACGAACAGAGAGGTGAATCCCGTGTTGTGTGAATTGTCTCTCTAAAAAACAGAGAGGTGAATCTCGTGTTATGTGAATTCTCTCTCTAAAAAACAAACAGAGAGGTGAACCTCGGGTTGTGTGAATTGTCTCTCTAAAAAACGAACAGAGAGGTGAATCCCGTGTTACGTGAATTGTCTCTCTAAAAAAAACGAACAGAGCCGGGCGGTGGTGGCGCACGCCTTTAATCCCAGCACTCGGGAGGCAGAGCCAGGCGGATCTCTGTGAGTTCGAGGCCAGCCTGGTCTCCAAAGCGAGTTCCAGGAAAGGCGCAAAGCTACACAGAGAAAACCTGTCTCGAAAAACCAAAAAAAAAAAAAAAAAAAAAAAAAAAAAAACGAACAGAGAGGTGAATCCCGTGTTATGTGAATTGTCTCTCTAAAAAACAAACAGAGAGGTGAATCTCGGGTTGTGTGAATTGTCTCTCTAAAAATAAGCTTTCTCCTATCTTGGATCCCTAGTTTCATCTCTGAAAGACAAATGCTGTTTACACTTTTATACTCTTTGAGAAATTCTTTAATTCTTTAAGTGTGTAAATAAATCTCACTGTTCTGGCTGGATTTCTAATGGGAATGATTATTTAAATGGGCAGCCAACACCCAATTTCCTCCCCTTATTTTCCAGTTACTGCACTATGAGGAGAGGTCTTGTTCTGGAGCACAGATGGCTATTAACTGCCACAGATGCAGCTTATCAGCAGCTAGATCACTGAAGAAAGTGACACCCTCCATGAGCTGCCCACAGACCCACAGGAAGGGAGGAAAATGAATCCTTACTCATTATAATGCAAGGGTTCATGATGTGGGTTTGTGCGCACACACATCCAGGCCACAGTGTGCCTGTGGAGGACAGAGGCCACCTTTGTGGAGATTACTTTTTTCCTTTCATCTTTACATGGGTTCTAGAGCTCAAACTCAGGTCGCCAGGGTGGAGCCCTTCCCCTCTGAAGCACCTCACCACCCACATGTCTTTATTTTTAAGTGAGCATTTCCATTTCTGTATTCTTTCCTATGAACCACCTATCCACATCCTATGTCTATTTTTCCACTTTTAGTCTTTAAAAACTTGAAATTTGCAAGTTCATTTCTATTTTAAATAGTTGGACAGTAGCTCAGCAGTTAAGAGCATGTGTTGCTCTTGTAGAGGGCCCAGGTTCGATTCCCAGCACCCACATGGTAGCTCACAACTGTGACTCCAGGCCCAGGAGATCTGATGCCCTCTTCTGCTCTCTGGGCACACCTGTGGTCCAGCATATGAAGGCAAACTACTCATATACATAAAATAATTTTTTAAAAAATCTAAAAAGAGCCCTGACCTGTGAGAGGCTTCCAGGAACAGCTCGGCCCCATACCATGCAGCTGGGGTGGACAGGACTCAACCAAACACAGCCTGGGCTTTCTAGCCCTGGCCCACAAGAGGACTCCAGCAACAGTCACACACCAACCAGGAGCCCACCCGGCACCTTTGGGAACTATTACGATCTCTTTGTGATGAGGAGGCATGGTCCTGCCCAGCGCCATGATGGACTGGGTAGGACAAGGCAGGCCTGGGGCGGTCTGTCCGGGGCTCCAAGGAGAAAACACGGTATGGTGAGCAAATGTATGGTGTGGTTTGGGAGAGAGAGACAAAATGGTTCATATCCTAGAGACAGAGGCCTATCTAAAGAGGTGAAAGAGATGAGGAGCAGGCTGGCCTGGGTGACCCTGGGCTGCTGCTGGAGCCCATGTCTGGGTTCATGGCTCTGATGCAGCCATGGTCTCTGTTGACGTCCATGGCTCCTGATACCACCAAAAGTCGAGAGGCTAGGGCTGTGCAGAGTTGGCCCCACCCTTCACTGTCTGTCTGCAGCACTAGGAGAACTGGTCCCGCCCCTCACTGTCTGCAGCACTAGGAGAACTGGTCCTGCCCCTCACTGTCTGCAGCACTAGGAGAACTGGTCCTGGTCCTGGTCCTGGTCCTGGTCCTGGACCTGACTGGCTGCAGCACTAGGAAAGTGGGCCCTGCCCCTCACTGGCTGCAGCACTAGGAGAACTGACCCTGCCCCTCACTGGCTGCAGCACTCAGGAAAGTGGGCCCTGCACCCTGCCTGGGCAGCACAGCAGTGCTGACCCTATTCACAGGTGTACAAGTGAATGGCCCTGAGAATGTGAGCTTAGGAGATCTGGCTCTGCCCCTCATCTGCCATTTGGTGGTGTGGGCCAGGGAGAGATGCCCTCCACCCCTCCACACCCCACCCCCACCCCTCCCCACACCCCCACCCCTATCCTTCCCCACCCCTACCCCCATGGCAGGTGAGAAAGCTGGCCCAGTACGACCAAGAGAGCTCTCCCTGCCCCTCACCAGCTGCAGCACTTGGCAGAGTGGCCCCTGCACCTCACCTGGGCAACACAGTAGAGCTGGCCCTGATGGTCTAAGTGTGGGAGAGCCAACCCTGAGGTCGTGAAAGCAGGAGAACAGCCCCACCCTTGCTCACTGCTACAAGAGGTGAACTCTGGGCAATGCTGGAGAGCTCACCCTGGTGGGGAGGATGGAGGGTGGGAAAGAGCCGGTGGGCTGACCGACCCTACAACTACCCAGGACCAGGGTTATGAGTGGGCCCACCCCAACACCTGCCCGCCCTATGATCTGTGGAAGCATGTGAAGGGGCAGATTCTGAAGACCCAAAGCTGCAAGATTTCCGTGACACAGGGCAGCCACAGGATAACCAGGAGGAGTTCCAGTGAGGGCCCAGCACGGATAGTGTTGCAGAAACCAGAGGCCTGGAACCAGACCAATGACTCTTTGCAATGAACACTTGCATGTAAAAATGTACAGATAAAAGTTTCCTGCGTGACTGTGTCATACTACTGCTTCCATGACGAAATTTTTCCTTTATTTTTTTCTCTTAAATTTTATTGGGGTGGGGGGTGCAAGGGCAGAGAGCAGATACAAAGGGACAGGTAAATGAATGTGACCAAGGTGCATGATGTGAATGACATGAAGGAAAAATAAAGTTTTAAAAAAGTCTAAAAAAATACTGAAAAAACAGAATTTAAGTAATTCTCAATAAATTTATTCCTATCTATAGTCTCATCTACATATTTAATTCATGACTTTCTTCCAGTGTTCAGTAATAAAATATTTATTTGGATTAATTCTAACTAACCTATTAATAATGCACTGTGTGTGATCATTAAAGACCAGTTTTATGAAATAGTTTGGGGGGATGGGAAAATATAGAGTAGAGAGAAGAAACAGAACTTAACGCCTGGGCTTGGAGTGACAGCTCGGCAGTTAAGATCATACACTGCCTTCCCAGAGGACCTGAGTTCAACTTCCAAAACCAACGTCAGTCAGCTCACAATCACCTGGGACTGTGGCTCCACGGGATCCGACACCTTTGACCTTCTCTGGGCACCTTCACCCACCTACACACAGACATACACACATACCCATACTTAAAAGTAAAATAAAATAAATATTAAAAACAAAAGGCAAAACAAAAACCTAATGCTATTAATAGAAAAACAATATTTTGATGCTACAGAAATTGTAAAAAAAGATAAAACCTGGCCATTATATTTGTCCAAATTTCTCTAGGCACCACTTGAATAGTTTAGTTTTCTCATCAAATAAAATGTGAGTATGTGTCTACAGGCAGGTGGGGTAGAAGAGAACACTGGCAAGGAGAACACACTCTAAAGTCTTTCCTTTTCTGTTCTGTATGCCATGGAAGATTTCCCAAGCGTTCCTCAAGTGCTCTGAGTTCTAAACGCCTACCAGTGGTTCCGTGTGGGGTCCTATCTGGGCACTTGCTTGGAGGCCGCTGCGTGTGGAACGAGGCTGTCCAGCTGGTGCCGATGTCCTGTCTTAACCAGCCATTCGTAGAACTTGTTCTCCACAAGGACCTGGAACTGCTTCCTCTGCTCCCTGAAGTGGCGATTGAGAGCGAAAGCATTTAAGAAGACAACCCCAACAGATTGACTCCCACGATACCTAAGATCTCAACACAACTGAACGACTATTTCTAGACAGTCTAGATAGTTAGAGCACAGGGAAAGACAGTGTCTACAGGTGCGTTTGCTGGCAGATTCCTACTGAGGACAAAATGAACGAGGCAGTGTTCTGACTGATGGGAATAGATCATAAAGAACAGAGACTGGCCCTGTCCAGGATGGCAGCTGTGATCTGTGTATACGTCCCTGTCAACTGTATACCCTCGTAGGGAATACGGGAAAGAGGCAAGATAAACACACAGCATGCAGTCAAGTACTTCTAAGAACTGCTTGTTGGAGCACGGTGGGACATCAGATGACAGTGCAGCATTACCCGGAGGGCTGCTGTAGACAGAGGGTGGACAGAAGATGTCTGTCCAGTAAGACACTTGACAGATGTCGACATGAAATGATGGAAGGAGCAAAAGGATGTGGACCGACTACCAGACAGAAGAAACGGAAATGATAAAGGCCTCACGTGACAGCCTGATGTGGGTAAGAAAGACAAGAGCAGACCACAGCTGGGGACAGCTCACACATCAGCCTGGCTGTGTTGTGTTTCTGCAGGACACAGTCCCACAGGACACCAACAGCAGACAGGGCACTCGGGAATGAACAAGAACCAGACACTCCACAGTCCCACTGAAGTCCAAAGGGAAATAAATGTGGTGAGACCATAAAAATGGCCCCTCCTCTCCCGGACGAGTGGCTGCTGCCGCTCTGTTGCTTTGGATCCACCCATCGCAACTGTCTTACAGATAAAATCACGAGGCGAGAATACTAACCTGCTCATTCCCATCCTCCAGTAACACAGCGCCGAGAATACCAACCCGCCCAGTAACGTCGCGCATAAAATACTAACCTGGGATTCAAGTCCTGAGAAAAGATGCACATGCCATTTAATGGGTGTGGCTGGCTGGCGACTGTGAAGTCCCACCCAGTTTCACACGCCCGGCCAACACTGACTCGAGAAAACACTCACTTGGTCAGACGAGCCTCCTGCACAGTTTTCTGCCAGGTCTGAATCTTCTGTTCTCGCTGAGCCAGCGCTTTCTGGTACTCCGAGGGGAGACCCCCGGGGATCTCCACCGTGTCCCCTTCCATCTCAAAGGGAATAACAAACACGTAGAACTCACAAGGCGGCAAGAGCCGGAAGACTCTTGTGTCACTGCTTTCTCTGCACACAACCATCGGGTCATCCCAGTAGTTGGGGACCGTAGCAAGGCCAGTCCTGGCCATATGGTCCTCTAGCATTGGGTAATGGGTATGAAATGGGGCCACAGTGACTCTCTGGTTCCCAGAGAGAATGAGTGGGCGTGACGGTGTCATAATGTGGAAGGTGCAGCTAGTTGTAGAGGAGATGGACAGCCGGTGGCAGACAGCAATGACCTTTAGATTCTCACAGTCATGGAGGTGAAGAGACGTCTCCACAGGACCCAGCACAAAGGTGCTATTCCTGCATTTTTCAATTGTCACGGATCTGAAAAATGTTAAAGGAGTTAAATTCTTCTGAATGAATTACCTAGAGTAAAATTCTGACTTAAAAAAAAAAAAAAAAAAAAAAGAATCCTGGGGCTGGAGAGATGACTCAGAGGTTAAGAGCACTGACTGCTCTTTGAGAGGTCCTGAGTTCAATTCCCAGCAACCACATGGTGGCTCACAACCATCTATAATCAGATCTGGTGCCCTCTTCTGTCATGTAGGCAAACATGCAGACAGAACACTGTATAATAAATAAAACAAATCTTTTTTTTAAAAAACATGAACCCTGTCCAAAGAAAATATGAAAATGCTTACCGCAAGGGGGAGAGCAAATATATGAAAGACTCATTGCAGCGATGAACCCTGACGTGTGCTCCTACTAGGGTGTCTGAGCTCTTGGCCAGTGTTTGCCTGTATACCTGGCTCATCACGACCAGGCGGTGCATTCGAGGGGCCACGTGAGCATTGCAAGCAATCTTCGCTCTTCTGGTCGCACCTTCAACTATTTAAGGAAACACACAAATAATAAGATGGTTGCAAATCAAAAAAAAATCAAACAACAAAAACATGTGACCATGAGATTATACATGTTTACATGTATTCATGCCTAAACTCAAAATATATGCAAAGAAAATATATTAGATTTAAGAGTTAATGGCAAAGTGGTGTTTACTGTTCTTTTCTATATATCTGTAATCTTTCAAAATTCGTATTAAAAATGTAAACCTATAATACATTCAAGATTTCTAATAAAGCTAAGATGCGTTTTCTTGGTTACCTTTTAAGTTAAGTAATGTGCCCGAGGTCCTAAACTAGCGACAGATCCGCACAGCTTTCCCTCCAGGATGCCTCACTGTGTCCTCCCAATCACAATGGACTTCTCAGAATGTCCTAATATCAGGTCCGCAGTCCTCTGAACTTACCAACAGCATCATTCCACAAATTCTACTTGAGTTCCTGTCTTCACCCCAAGATCACTACTACTTGAGAGCACATCTTACCTCACAGGGTCCCTTCTGACACATCAGTTTGAGATTTGCGTCTCTGCCTGTACCTCCAACATT